TGGTAGTGACACCCGTCTTGCTTGAGAAAGCCATCTTGATCAAAGCTGCAACCCTACCACCTGACACAGTCTTTCCGAAGAGCTTGAGCGTATGTGTGCTGTTGCTAAGGGCCACATCTGAGCCTTCTAGAGGCTGGAGAGAAAGGGCAGTGATCAATTGCTCGGTGGCATCTGCAGTCAAGTCAGTATATCGAGTTGGATCAACATTGAAACGTCGAATTCGAGACGCACCTGAAATGCTCTTCATGTTACTGAGCTGTAGAGTCTCGCTGACTTCCTCTCCGTTCGCACCGGTCTGCTCCCAGACGTGGTCAAAGCTGCCGGCAAACGTGGGAATGACATAGTCGCTGCCAGTAAGCTCCAAGTCCTCGACTTGATACTCGTCCTCATATCCGCTATCCTCCGGCTCGCCGGTTGTAGGGTCGACTTCCTTGCTGGTAAATTTCAAGATATTTGTAAATGACGTGACAGGGAAGCTGTGTTCGCCGGCGAGTTTCTTGAAGGTGACGTATACGATACCAGGCTCATTTGTAGCCAGCTTGGGAGCGGGCACGGTGAACTCTTCTTCCAGGGCCTCTTCATCGGAAGGAGTGGCGGCCACCGTTACGTCCTCAAGAACCGTATCGGGCAGAGTGTTCTTGATGTCGTACTGCACCACAATGTGCTCCTTGAAAACATGCTTGACGGCTGTCACCACGTATTCTGTCTCGCTCTCAGTAAGCTCTACAGGCACAGAGGACTTGAGTAAAGTTCCGTATGCCTTGAGCTCTGGAATCTGCATAAGTTGCTCGGCATATTTCTGAGTTGCCGCTGCGGTTGCCGCCTCGGCGACGCCGTTGGCCTTGCCTTTGGGAGGGCCGGCAGAAGGAGCCTTGAGGGTGGGAGTTGCCGTCGTGAGCTTCTTGGTTCTCTCTTCCGCCAATGCTTGTTCTTGTGTGACAACAGGAACCGTGGAGATGTCGAAAGCCGCGGCAAATGTGTCCTTGCTTGTTGATGTCACGTACATGACGAGCTGGTGTTCGAACGTAGAAAGTGAAAACATAGAATCTAGTTATGTAAGTTACGAACATACCAGGTTGAAATAAGACGACTTATACATACCGTTCTTGATAAATCGTTCGGCCATCTCGTCCTCTTCCGCCATAAGACGAAGATTGAGAGCAGCTCGGTCTCGTACCTCATCATCCGTATCGTCAAGGCAGCGTGTAAGAAGGACGGAGACACTGGATTTCACTTCAGGGTCCTTCTGTCCGACGCCAAACTTGGCCAGGGCCGTGACAGCGGCAGCTCGTACAATAGCATTCTCCAGGACGACTCTATTGTAAATGTAGCGAATGTACTTAGTGGGATGAGATGTCTTGGGCCCTTCTACACCGAGAAGGTGAAGAATTCGGACCGACAATTTGGTAAATTCACAGTCCTCGATAAACTCGCAGAGGTGGGCAAGGGCTAGTTATTGTTAGATGGGTTGCCAAACAACCAGGTTAAAAGGGAAAGGAAGTAGGGTTGGGAAGTTCGTACCATCTTCTTTGCTCTCAGGAACGAATTTAATCAGGTCGAACATGCTTTCAACGACGCTCCGCTTGAATTCATACCCACCCTCGTCCCTGAGTATGCCGCTGAGGAACGCCAGCATACCGGCCTGTTTGCTGGGGAACTTCAAGCAGAGAGTCCGAATAGCTTCGACAATAGTGATCTTGAACTCATCCGTGATATCAGCCATAAAACCAGAGATCTGCTTCATCAAGCGATCGACACTGGCCTCGTTGCCAGTCTTGAGCAGTGTTGTGATGGCGAAAGTGGCGATGGAACGGTTGGAGTTGGAGATAAGAGATTCGATGTCAGGGTTGCACACATTGACAACATGAGGCTTGAAGCTCGCAAAGTTGTGGAGGATACGAATGGCAGCAAACTTGGTAATGGCGCGAGGAGACGAAAGGAACAACTGGAGAACATGAACAGCCTGGGACGCTTCCGCATCGGTAACATCGCGCATATCGCAGATTGCCTTTGCCGCCTCGAAGTTGACCATCTCATGTTTATGCCGGAGCCAGCCATCAAGCATCTGCATCATCGGTTTCCTCAGGCCTGGATCCTCCTCGGCCAGCTTCGCCGCTAACCGCACCAACAATACCAGCGCGGCGGGGCTCTTCACAACACCAGCTGCTCCATACTGTTGAACCATCTTCACTAATGCCATCCTATCATGCGAGCGCATCTGGTACAAGAGACCAATGGCATGATATTGAGTCATAAAGTTGGATTGCGAGATAGCGTGGCTCGAAGAGCTGCCGCCGAAGCCAAGGAAACCGGTCGACTGCTTCGATGCAGATGCAGCTTCCTGCGTCTCGCTCTGCCATCTACGGACGACATCGCGCGCAATGGGAAGGAGGTGGTATGAAGAAACCAGGGCGGCGGAGGAGACAGAAGGCGTCTTGTCGACAATAGCGGTTTTGATCAATCGCTCGATACCTTGCACGGTGGTGGCCTTTAGAAATGGCATCAGTTACTAAGCTTAAGGAATGTAGTACAACGAATGATGCTCACATCAATAATGCGGCACAGAGCCCGAATGGCGTTTGCTCTGTAGAGGATGTCGCTACCGACGGCGGTGTCCTTCATGATAATGCTTGTGGACATGATGACATCCTCGGCTGTATTCGCGAGTTCTTTCAGAATAAGATAGACCATTTGCCGCAGGGAAGGATCTTTGTTCTGGAACAGTTTCGAAATGCCGAAGAATAGAGTGGTCGCTTCGTTCGTGGGGAATTGCTCCCCCGTAAACATGAGGACAGCGATCTTGGTCAACAGGGTTCGACATCTTCGTGGAGAAATTGGAGAGGAATTGAAGAGACGTGCTATCAACCGGCAAAAGGAAGAACATAATTAGTTAATTGCATGGTAGTTTGGTAACATCTTCAGGGGAACGGATAATCCCCTTACCATCTTGGAAGACGGAGGTCCGATCAAGCTTGATCATGACTTGATCAGCGTCCTCATCCTTTTTGACGTAGCTCATGGTGAACGAAGCTGCTGATCCAACAGCAGCGGAGAGATCCGTTCTGATACCCTCTTCTTTTGTAGGTTACCGGTAAAGGTGACGCCGGTGTCAACAGTGGAATAAGGACGGGCGGGTAAGTATTAAGGGTGTCTGTAGCAATTGGGTGTGCAGGCGGTGTAAACGATTAACGCGCCCTCATTATCCACGAAAGGTGAGGTTAAAAGAGAGAAAAGCAAAAGACCAGGCCAGTAGGAGCAATGTCCAATCTCAAGGCAAGACTACTGACCCTGTTCCAGGGGAGAATCGAGCATGAATGGAGAGGTTGTTACCAAAGCAGCTCCCGATGCCATTGAACAATCTCCAGGTGGCCTTCCGCGTCTGTGGGTGCTCTAGCCACCGTGGCTGATGCTGCAAACAGAGCAAACATGCGGCATGCATCATAGCATCGTCCCAATAACTTGGAAGCCTCAACAAACAATTTCATTGGAGCTATTATCTATCTAAACTTGCGATTTCTATTTCTCAGGACTGATCAAATTATTCCTTCTCATCATGGAAGTCCAAGTAAACCCAAACGAGGACACTGAATGGTAGGCAAATCAATCTCTGCAATTCTCTCACCAAAGCCCCGATAATCACTCACCCCACCATAGGAATGACATTCTCCGCAAGCATGGCATTATCCCCGAGAAGCCCCAGGACCCTGAACCATTGATCCAAGAGGCCCTCGTAGAGGCCGAACGAAAAGCATACGAGAATAGACTCGAAGACAAAGACCTAGATGAGCTGCACGATCTCGAAGATGAAGAAGACGATGCATTCCTCGAACAATACCGGTACGTCGCCGACTATGAGAATACCGGTGTTCCAGCTGCGGGCTTTGAGGCTTTCAAGTATTGACCAAATCCAGCCAAAAGCGTCTCGCCGAACTCTCTACCCTTCAAAAAACCAGCATCTACAACCAAGTCTACCCATTACAAAAAGTCGACTACGCTCGCGAGGTAACTGAAGCCTCCAGCAAATCCTTCGTGCTCGTCCACCTCACATCCACCAGCGGGAACGCCGAGTCGCGGATCCTATCCGATCTGTGGCGTCAACTAGCTATGAAATACGGCGACATTAAATTCTGCGAGATCCGGGGCGATATGTGCATTGAAGGGTATCCGGAGCGGAATACGCCGACCATCCTGGTATACAAGGACGGAGAGATTAGAAGGCAGCTTGTCACATTACGGGAGCTCAATGGACCCAAGACTAAGCTTGAAGGTGCGTTTGTTGATATTAGTGTTGTATAGATGTTGGCTGACGTCGTCTCGCAGACCTTGAGCGAATGCTAGTGGATCTGGGTGCCTTGAAAGAAAGCGATGTCCGTCTAAAGAAGAGATCTCACTCGTTCGACGAGGAGCGTGCATCAAACATCAGGAGTGCGAACGTCGAAGATTACGACGATGATTGGGACTAAGAGAACAATGACTGCGAATTATATTCTAGTACAAGATTGCTATTTTCATGCTGATTATACGATAACGGTTCGTCGATCTTTTTTACACTCATACGATACATACGTTGAATATGGGACACACCCGAGAATGATACGGGTCAAATGGGGTTGTTGATCAACTCACCTGCATTCACGGATTGAGACATTAAGTTCATGTCAAAGGATAGGTGACTGGGGAAAGCGCAGTTAGTCCTTCATGAATACAAGTATTTATATCTCAAATTGTGAACCATTCAGTCGTCCGATAGTGCAACCGCAACGTCAAACGCTAGCGTTCTCGGCAATCATTACTTTGTATGCTATACCAGCGCAGCACACATGTGTGCATTGATGAAAATAAATGAGAAAGATCAATTGATGACATATACCGATCCCAGACACGATTCCTGCGCCAAATAACACCCCAATATAGCGCCGTATCCTCCCATAATCAGCTTCCAAACGCACCAAAATACATTTTCAAAATCATAACTGGGTCCAAATTCGCCTCTGCCAAGGTCATATCAATTCATCGCGGCCAGCCGCAGCGCTCGCCTCAATGGCCCGGAGCACCTGGCCTTCCCTGAACGCCGGACCCTGTCCATTACACTGAGCCATCCCCTTCAATCGATTAGAGACATCGCCGATATCCACAAGACCCTGCTTGTAAAGTTCATGCCCCTGGATAAGATCCCAGGTCGCTCCGGCATCGAGGAGCCTCTCCCCCGTCTTATCGCAGATCGTCACCCGATGCGTAGGCGCCGGCTCCCCCTTCGGTACGAGATTCGTGTAAAAGTCAGTAGGGGTGTACTTCATCGGTCCTGTGACGGTTGGCTCCGAGTCCAGATGACGGCCTTGCGAACTCGCCAATTGGCCCGTGGTAGCCCGTAAAATCTCATTCTCTGTTGCGTACTTGGCCAGTTCCCGCTTCAACCGTTCGTTATCCGCGGCTAGGGTGGTGGATTCTTGCTCGAGCGTGCTGACTTTCTCTTCCAGTTCGCGGACATGACGCTCCTTTCGTTCGCGAAACGCTCGCTGACTGGAGGCACCGATCCGGGGATATGTTAGCCACACTTATTCCACAGCATGCTGCTAGCGCGGGCATGTATTGCAGCCATAACACTTTCACAGGAACGAACGGATCACATACGCAGCTCGGTTCTGTGCCTTGCGCTTACTTTGCGCTGGAGTCAGATTGTCCTTTTCCTCGCTGCTGCTCCGATGCTGGAGTTGGTCATCGCCGCCTTCGACAGATCCAGGCTCCGCATGGCTATTGGGGAGATCATTGCTCGAAACCGAGTGTTTGGAGAAGGATTCAGGTGGAGAGTGCGGTGGAGGGACAAAGGACGAAGGGGCGGCGGGGTTCTGAATGCGAAAGGAGGGATCGAATGAATGATAATTCTAGGATGGGACAGGGTTAGTACCAGATCAGCATAAGTGGCAACGTAGGGAAACAACTAGAGAAGTAAATGGATCATTGAGATCATCGCCATTAGAGGCTGGGTTGTTCTGATCGGGTGTTGGTAGTCCGTGGAGATCGTAGACGGGGAATGGCTGCTGTGACTGAGTATTGGAATAAAATGAGTAGTCCATATCTCTGCACTTCTCTCAACCAAAAGCACGTCTTCTTGCAGTAGATGATCGGCCGAAGAGAGAGAAGGTAAAAATACAATGTTGATAAAAATTGCTGAGATGCTTCCTCTTATCGATGGGGGCCAGCGGTCAGGATGGTACGGAGACAGATTTAATGGGGCTCAGCCTTGGAATTGCTTTTGTTCGGAGAACCCAAGAAGCTAAAAGGAACAACTTAGAATAACATGGATGCAAAGCAACCGAATTTCGCCGCTCCGAATAATTGACACAAGCTTTTAAAAAGCATGGCATGATTCTGCGTAATCATAAGGATGAAGATGTAGATGTAGATATTGAAGCACTTCGGGACAACGCGGGGTATGTTCAGGCCAGAAAGCGACCTAGAGCCAGGGGCAGCTATTGTCGATGTCAACTAAGGGAATTGCCCTTGATAATCCGACAGAAAAGAGCACAAGAATTCTCAGGTAGCTTATCGATGTCACCGCTTCATGGCAAGAGTAAGTTGTTTACTACGTCAAACCTACCTATGACTTCTGACTTCCGCATTTGCTCCCCAAGCCACAGAAGGAGTTAATAGACAATTACAACAGTGCCGGCGCAGTGATACTGCAAAGACGAAGGAAATTGATTCACGACAAAAGACTGAAATATTATATGTGTAAACGAAGAGACAGTTTGAGAGACCCTAGCCGGTAGCTTTCGAGTTGGCTCGCGATGGGTCCTCACAGGTTGCCTCCTCGATACAATGCGAGAGAGCGTGGAAGAATAAATCAAAGCCATAAGATGCCATTAAAGTGAACACAAATCGACGTGATACCACCCCGGAAGCGACCCTAGCCATTTTCCGTCGCCAATTACCCAAACGCAGACGCATTTCCCTCGTGCCTGACCACTGCAAGTCGTCCCATAATCCTCATAACCGGACAGTCGTGAGATAAGTTTGTTGAAAAGGACAACAGCAGGGGCATCAAAAGTAGACACCCAGAAACTGCCGTCTCCACCACATCATCGCAGGTCGTTCGTTCTGTCATCGTCCCCTGTTGACACGTCGATAACTCACAAGCAAAACGATGGAAAGTACATGAAAGCATGCAGGACATAAGAAGACGATGGGAAGTGCAAAAGCCAAATGGGGTTGGAAAAGTATTGAAACAGGACAGTAGATAATCAATCTGAGGATCCCCAGTGACATTTGTCGACATTCCGATAAAGCTGTTTCGTCACAATACTGATGATCCCGTTTGTGCATCTCTTATCACCCGACCCACCCGGCAAATTGCTGAGACTGAAAATCTCGATTCAAATATGAATTTGAGTGACTGGACCAAGGTGGGCAAACGGGGAAAATATAGCCGCAGTGAAAAGCATTTCGAGGCTGCTATCGATTCCCTTTCAGAAAAAATCGTTCGCGTATCGACTACAGAAGTCGTGAAAATGGTGGGGCTGTCGAGCGTTGAAAGAAAAGCCTCCACCGAGTGAAAACACGAAAGACTGATAAGCGAACTGGTGAAGTTGAGAACGATGAGCAGTCCGTCGAAGCGTTGTAGATCGAAAGACGATCCGGACTGGATAAAGGGCTGATAGAGTGCATGGGAACAACAAAAGGAAAGAAAGGAATGGAGATCCAAGGCAAAAGAAGTCCGAGAAGATTGCTGCACGATGCAGACGGGTACCGTGATGACAGGAGGTCCCGGGCTTCAAAGTTGGTGTAAGTTGTTGGCATGCAGGAAGCTGAAATACGATCGAAAGACGAGTAAAATCAAGCTACGCTGCGATGCTGCACAATTAGTACCACTGAGCACCGTATCCATCGTCCCGCTTCGCACGGCTACCGGCAGACCCATAAGCACCTGAAGCAGCAACCTTGGAAGCAGAGCGCAGCCTAATGCCGAAGACTATGAGATTAGTCAGATTCTAGAAACTGAAAAGGCCCTCCACGCGCAGAGCGGATCTTGAACACCAAACGCAGAGGAAAGGGGTTCCCTACACGGAACCTAGGTTTCAATACTCACATCCTGTCGCTCCCTCCCATAGCACGGTTGGTGTCAGGGGTGTTGTTGAGCGTGTTGTGATCGAGGACCTTGCGACGCTGGCTGGAGATAGCACCAGGCTTGGCAGCAGTAGCAGGGGTAGCCATGGGCGCCTGAGCTGCAGCTGCATTTTGGCGGCCGTCAGCCTCCTTATCCTTCTTGTTATTGGTAGCGTCCGCAATCATGGCAGCGTTCTTCTGGTACTTGTAGACGGTCCAGTCGAACACGTAGTCGTACTGGTAAGACTCGCGGACGAACAGGTCGCGGAAGATCTTGCGGAGGTAGGAGTAGTCAGGCTTGTCATCAAAACGCAGGGAGCGAGTGTAGTTCAGGTAGATGGAGAACTCGTTGGGGAATCCACGGCAGAGGACCTCGGTTGGAGTGGTCATCTTCTTTTCCATGATACGGTCGTACTTTTGCTTCTTGGTGGCCGCCTTCAATCCCTGCCAAGGGAGAGTGCCACGGCAGAAGTAGAGCATGACGTATCCGAGAGATTCCATATCATCACGACGAGACTGTTCAACACCGAGGTGAGTGTTAATACTAGCATAACGGGCCGTTCCGGTGAGGTTCTTGTTCTCGCGGTATGGGATGTGGAAGTGCGTCTTGGGATCACGGTACTTCTTGGCAAGACCAAAATCAATCACATTGACTTGGTTTCCACGCTTGCCGATACCCATCAGGAAGTTGTCGGGCTTGATATCACGATGGATGAAGGACTTGGCGTGGATGTACTCGATTCGGGAAATGAGTTGATCTGCCAGCAGAAGCACAGTCTTCAGGGAGAATTTGCGGTTGCAGAAGTTGAAAAGGTCTTCCAAACTGGGACCCAAGAGGTCGATGACCATGGCGTTGTAGTCACATTCAGTACCGAACCAGCGGACAAACGGGATTCCAACACCACCAGCGAGCGATTTGTAAACCCGAGCTTCATACTCGAGCTGGGGGTGCTTGGCCTTGACACTCTCGAGCTTGATGGCAATTTCCTCTCCAGAGATGATGTTGGTACCTGTATCCTTTTGTAAGCGGTTGCTCACTACCGATTTCCTCTAAAGTATCAGATGCCATACCGAGATAGATGTCACCAAAACTACCGCTTCCGATCTTACGGCCGATGCGGTATTTATTACCGACTCGCAAATCCTGTGTTGTGACCATATTAGTACGATGTACAAGGGCCGAGGAATGCATTGACGTAAATACTAACCATGGTCGTCATCTTGATTGTCGATTGTTAGGCCCAGCTGAAAGCTGTGGCTGGAGATGATGTCAAAGACTGTAGGAAAGAATTGTAAGTTCTTGGTCAACCAGTGGACGATGTCGACGCAACGTGGACAAATTCTAGGAAGGTGAATCCAAGAGAGGGGTCCAATAATGGAAAAGGCCAATGTTGTGAAGAACAAGATAAGGGCTTGAGAGTGGTAGGATGGGTGAAAAAGTGCAAGCTCCAGCCTCCGGCGCGTAGTTGCTTGGCAAGTGAGTGAATTGGCAATGAGGCTGTTGCGGGTGGGAAGCTGCTGATGGAACGAGACGCCTCAACAACGATTCAACGGGAGAAGAATGGCCACAAAATAGATGTGGCAGTCCCCAAAAAAAAAGCGAGAGTAGAATGTTGAAAAAATGTATTCCTTGTTGTTTTGTTGCAGACGGAACGAGGTGGTGATGAGGGCGATTGATTCCGACTGTAGAGGCCCGACCGAAGAAAAGGCGGAGGAGAGAAGAGAAGGGAAAAAGGAGACCGAGTGGCCAACTCACCTTAATAATGGGATACGTCGGAAATGCAGAGATGATACGCGTAGAAATTAACAGACAGGAAAAAAGTACCTGCTGTTGAAAACAAGAAGGGAAAAAAAGAAACAAAAACCAAGGGCAGAGCCTTGATATCGGAAGGTGGAATTGGGGGGGAGAAAGAGAAGAAGGGAAGAGGAGGAAGGAGAATAAGAGAGGAGTTTGAGTGTTGGGTTTGGGTGTACTGAGAGGAGAGACTAAGCAGTACTGAGCGGAGGTAACTAGGTACCTATGGAGAGGGGGGCCGGGTAATGGTAAGTAAAAGCGGTGATGGAGGTTCTGTCTAAGGTTAGGCAGAGCTCGAAAAAAAAAAAAAAAAAGAACTCAATTAGAGAGGCAAAGAGAAGGCAAAATCTGTCCAGAAAGAAACTAGGCAGATATTGTATGTAAGAAGACTGTATGCTGTATTACAGTATGTATCACATAATGAGTCTAGATTATGGATTGTCTTCACCTGATATCAAGCTACCTAATAATAACAACACAATTCGGCTATTTCGTTCCATCATGCTGTCAAGGGCCATCAAGCCATCAATCATCAAGCAAAGCAAGAACCAGAACAAGGAAGGTTCTTCCAGGCGAGATACGCGGCCATGCAAGGAAGAATCGAAATGGTAGACGATCAATACCCGATGATAGCCAAGTACAGCGGTCAGCCCCCAACCTGACATGATTTAGCCTTTCTTAGTTCTATTCCACCAATATCAACATCGAAACGCATCTGATTTAGTGTCCTACATCTACGAACAAGTATCACATCGCAAAGAAGATAAAACCACATCGCTCTTCATCCATTTCCTCTTGCATCGAGATACAGTGAGTTCCATCAATGAGTGGCAACTAACTTGGCATCAGGCGGCGAAGTAGTAGAGAGGCACAAAGGCTGTGCTTTTGCATCATTTCATCATCTCACCTCATAGCCACACTCATACCCAGGATCAACCAGCTTATAGGTAGATAATAATCTGGAAAATTCCAGCATTTCACTCCTCATCCTATCTACCCGGTCGACCACACCGGGCCTCTCCAACAGTATCGTATGCCGTTGCCTGCTCTGCTCAGATGACCTCGTCTACCTTGGATAAGTACCTTTCCATTGGAAGTGAAACCGCGCGTGTATCTGTATGGTAATTACCAATACTATACCTAAGGTACCCGTCCACAAATCGACCCTTATAAAGC